AAAATCAAACAAATAATTGCATTTGTTTTATTTATTAAGTAAAATTAAGTTGGATTTTTATAAACAAATGGAAAATTAAGAGTTAATAAAAAAAAACACAACACACTATTAAATGTAAAATAAAACAAAAATTCAATGAAATTTTGTTAAAAACAGAAAAAAAAAAAGGAATTAAAAACAAAAAAAAAAACTTTAGTCAAATTCAAAATTCATTTTGTAGACTTAAAAGAAAATAAAACAACACAATATTTAACAGCGGACAATGGACAAGAATGAAAGGATGTAAGAGGAATAAAACTGTAAAAAATACACCAAATAAAAAAAAAAAACAAAACAGAAAGAAGAAACCCTAACCTGAACAAAAATATTTTTGCAAAAACTATAAAGCAACAAGAATAACGAAAAAAAGAACGCATGGCAACAAAGTAAGTTTATTGAACGTATGGAAGAAAATGGCAAATAATAAAATAAAAAAACAAACAATGGTTTTAATATATATATATAAACAACTTATAAACAAGAAAAAACAAAAACATGTTGTAAAACTGTTATAATTTGTGACAAAAAAGGAAAAAACCAAATATATATATTAAAAAACAAATAACAATGACAACAGCAAGAACAACAAACAAAGAAAAATTTAATTAACAAATAAACAGCAAGACAAACAAACAAACAAAAAGAGACAACAAGAATAAAAACAACCAATAGTATTTAAACAAATTTGAAATAAAGTGAAATGAAATTGTATTAAAAAAATTGTTTTGATTTTATTAAACTCTAGAAATGGAAAAGGTAAGTTATATATAAATAGTATATATAAAAATTGATTATATATAAATAAACAAATTTAAAAATATCACCAGGTTTTGGCGGCAAATAAATATTTTTTTATTTTTGCTTTTTAATTTGAGCAATCATCCCAAAAAAATTTCACATAATTTTCATATACAGCTTAAAACATCTACGCTGCTGTGAAAATTGAAAAATTGATTTAAAACAATACATTAGAGAAAGAAAATTGAATATTGTATTTTAATCGAATTTTTAATCCATTTCTGGAAATTTATTTCAATATTTCTTTATCTTCATTTAAAGCTAAACCTCGTAGCTTTCATATGACACCAAATCCAATGCAATATCTTAAATGGTTCAAAAGTTATGGCAAAAAGTAGAAAACAATCATATTTGTCCGCTTTACAACACTGGTTAAGCATCGACGCCAACGACATCTATTGACAGCCATGATTCAGTTGAGGCAAACCCATTTTTCAAGGTGATTTTCAACAGCTCATAACATTGGAACAAATCAATCAATCTTCTCAAACAAGGTGGCATTTGAAAGCTTTAACAATCTACTTTTTTATGAGAAAGCTAAATTGCTTCATAAAATATTACTTCATTCGGAAAATTTGGAGATCACAATAATTGTTTAATCAATTGTTTAAATTAGAAATTGAATGCCTTAAACATCTTCGTTTATGGGAAAATTTCGAAAATAGTTCGAAAATAATATATTTGAGAAGCAGGATTGAAGATTGTATTTAAATCTATTATTTTATCCATTTCTGAGAATTTATTTCAATTTTTCTTTCACTTTGATTAAAGCTAAACCCCGTATCTTTCATATGACACCAATTTCGAAGCAATGTCTTAAATGGTTCAAAAGTTATGGTAAAAAGTAGAAAACATTCATATTTGTGCGCTTTACAACACTGGTTAAGCATCGACGCGAACGCCATCTATTGACGGGAATGATTCATTTTAGGCAAACATATTTTTCAAGGTGATTTTCAACAGCTCATAACTTTCGAACGAATCAATCAATCTTCTCAAACAAGGTGGCATATGAAAGCTTTAACAATCTACTTTTTATGGAAATACCAAAGTGATTCGTAAATCATTACTTCATTCGCAAAAACTGGAAATTCAATTAAACTTCAAAATGTCTCATATTAAAAGAAATGTTTTTTATTTTGTAATTTTCTTAAATAAAAGTCAGACCTTTTACTTTTCATATGTCGCTGATTTCAAAGCAATATCTTGTATAGTTAAAAATTTATGACCAAATGAAAATGATATTCAATTGCTTAAATTTGAAATTAAAAGCTTAAAACATCTTCGGCTATGTAATAATTTTAAATAAGTTCGAAAACAATATATTTGAGAAGAAAAATTGAAGATTATATTTAAATCTTCCATTTCTGGGAATTTATTTCAATATTTCTTTATCTTCATTTAAAGCTAAACCCCATTAGCTTTCATATGACACCCATTTCAAGGCAATATCTTAAATGGTTCAAAAGTTATGGCAAAAAGTAGAAAACATTCATATATGTTCGCTTTACAACACTGGTTAAGCATCGACGCGAACGCCATCTATTGACAGGTATGATTCATTTTGGGAAAACCTATTTTTCAAGATCATTTTCAACAGCTCATAACTTCCGAACAAATTAACCAATTATCTCAAACAAGGTGTCATATGAAAGCTTAAACATTCCACTTTTTTATGAGAAAGCTAAATTGCTTCATAATATTACTTCTTTCAAAAAATTTGAAAATCGCAATAAAATTAGAAATTTCTTATATTAAAAGAAATGTTTTTTAAATTGAAATTGGCTTAAATGAAAGCCAGATCTTTTAGCTTTCGTATGTCGCTGATTTCGAAACAATATCTTGTACAGTTAAAAAGTTATGACCAAAAGAAAATGATATTCAATTGTTTTTGTCGAGAAGGCAGGTGTGCCCTGCGACTTTTTAAAAAGGCAACCGTTTTCTTTCAAACTTTCCACGAGGTTGCATTTTCATCAAACTAAAGGCAAACTCGAATATGTATTAGATTGGTCCACTCCTTCTGGCACTTTTCCACAAATAACCAACGTTTTGATAGATCATAAGCTCAATTGAGATATTTCCTTGTTCTAGAGCAAACAACAAGGTGGCTTTCTTAGTTTTCTCTTAGTTTGATAAAAACCTAGGCGTGTGGAAAGTTTGAAGGAAAACTGTTGCGTTTTTAAAAAGTCACGGGGCGTACCAGCCTTCTCGGCATAAACGGTTGAATATCATTTTCATTTGGCCATAACTTTTTAACTATACAAGATATCGTTTTAAAATCAGCGACATATGCAAGCTAAAACATCTGACTTTTATTCAAACAAAGTACAAATTTACCAACATTCCTTTTGATACGTGAAATTTTGATTTTTAATGCAATTTTGAAATTTTTCGAATGAAATATTGTTCCACGAAGCAATTTTGCATTCTTATAAAAAAGTAGATTGTTAAAGCTTTCATATGATACCTTGTTTGAGATGATTGAGTGTGTGGTTCGGAAGTTATGAGCTCTTTAAGATCATCTTGAAAAATATATTTGCACAAAACGAATCATACCCATCAATAGATGGCGTTCGCGTCGATGCTTAACCAGTGTTGTAAAACGTACAAATATGAATGTTTTCTTCTTTTCGCCATAACTTTTGAACCATTTAAGATATTGCATTGGATTTGGTGTCATATGAAAGCTACGATGTTTAGCTTTAAATGAAGATAAAGAAATATTGAAATATTGAAAAATTAGATTTAAATATTATTTTCAATTTTTTCTCAAATTTATTATTTTCGAGCTTATTCCAATTTTTCACATAACCGAAGATGTTTTATGCTTTCAATTTCAAATTTAAACAATTGAATATAATTTTCATTTGGTCATAATTTTTTAACTATACAAGATATTGTTTCGAAATCACCTACGTGTAAAAGCTAAAAGATCTAGTTTTCATTAAAGCAAATTGCAAATTAAAAAACATTTCTTTTGATATACGAAATTTTGATTTTTAAAGCAATTTTTTAAATTTTCAAATGAAATATTGTTTCACGAAGCAATTATGTGTTCACATAAAAAGTAGATTATTTCAGCTTTCATATGACACCTTGTTTGGCCTGATTGATTGATTCGTTCGGAAGTTATGAGCTCATGAAAATTAACTTGAAAAATAGGTTTGCACAAAACGAATCATACCCGTCAATAGATGGCGTTCGCGTCGATGCATAACCAGTGTTGTAAAGCGGACAAATATGAACGTTTTCTTCTTTTCGCCATAACTTTTGAACCATTTAAGATATTGCTTTGAATTTGGTGTCATATGAAAGCTAAGAGATTTGACTTTAATAAAATCAAAAGAAAAATTGAAATATATTCCCAAAAATATATGAAAAATTAGATTTTAAAACTATTTTCAATTTTAATATATTGTTTGAAAACTCGTTTTTAATTTTTACAACATAAAAGAGATCTGAGATAATTTTTTGGGACAATTGGTTAATTTATTAAAAATATATAAAGAAATGTTTGGACAAAACTAATATCAAAAATGACAGAAGTATCGAAACTGTTGTCATGCTTTTCTTGCCCTTTCCTAATTAGACTTTAAATAATTAAAATTTGCCACATTCATTTGTTTGATATAAAAATAAAACAACAAGTTTTAAATTTTTAATTTGTTAAATTTATAGTTTTTTATTGACATTTTGCTCTTTAGTATTTTATTTCATATATATAATACATATATAACTTTCTTGTTTTCGAATTAATATTATTAACTTCGTTAGACCTTTTTCTTTTCAGTTTACATTTGTTTGGTTTTTGTTTTCATCTTCACTATCTTTTAAAACCAGCATCTTTACTGTTTCCGTTGTCCTTGTACAGAGTTCAATATTTGTTAGACTCATTCAAAGAGACAGCATTGTTATTGTTTTGTTATACTAAAATTTAAAAGATAAAAATTTGCATTCTTTTGTCAATATATATATAACTTTTAAATATATTTATTTTGCAGTTTTTTTTATTATTTTGTAAATAAATTAAAAAATGTATTTTTTAGGTTTTTTTTCAATTTGTTGTAATAGGGTTTCAGTAGAATTTTACAGTTCTCAGCAATCAGTGTCTGCACTTGGTTGGTTCGTTCTTTAATCATTCATTCATTAAGAAGTCAATAAAATTACATTAGGCGTCCTTTTTTGTTGTTTAATAATATTTGGTTTATTCTGTTAAATAGTTAACTTAAAAAAGAAAATAATAAATCATAGGATATGTGCAAAATAAAACATATATATTTTTTTGTATAAACAATAAGAAATGCATTTTTATAGTTTGGATGTGTTTTAATTTCTATTTTTGTGGCAAAGAAGCCACAAAATAGTTTGGGGAAATAAGGATGCAAGAATTTCATAAACTGAGGGCTGTGGTGGAGGGGAAGTATTAATGTAATATTTTTTTGGAATTTGTTTAATATCCTAATTAGTTGTATGTTTGTTTGTTTTTTAGCAACATGAGATAAACTAAATTAATTATCACTTTCTTTTGTTGAAGGTTAATAGCAAAAAACGCTTTGGGGCGGGGGATTTGTAACAAAAAATTGGTTTACAAAATCATAAAAAACAACAAACTAAAGAAAATGTATTAAATTTGATTTAACACTTCTCTGTTGTAGTTTTGAATTAAAATATATAAATTTGTAAAAAAATGAGATTTCCTAAGGGTAACTTTGTCGAGGCCTTTTTTGCTACACCTTCTTTGTTGATTTTTCCATTTTCGATTTGATTTTTTTCCAATTATGGGTTGTTGGTAGTAAAATTAAAGCTTGCTTAAATAATATTTAATAATAAAAAAAACACAATCGATTAACAAAATTTGTTTAAAATTAATAAATAACATAAACAAACTATATAATTTGAGGGGGAGTTTTGTTTTTTTTTTATGATATACGATATACACTACATTTAGGTTATACTTAAAAATTATTAAAATTACTTCATATAATTAGAATAAGAAAAATAATAATAATAATAATAAACCTTTTCTTGTAAAATTTGTCGTCGCATATAAAAAAAAATAGACGAGCACTCATCACTTTCCGATTTATGTTAATTTCAAATATGAAGGCGGTGAACATTTCTTGCGTAAAAATTTAATTATATACAAAGGTAAACAGGACACCAGGGTGATAATCGAGACCTTCCACAGGAAATCGTAAGAGGATATAAATTCCCAATCTGTAAAAGGAGGAGAAATACACACAAATTATTATCAGAATAGGATAAATATAAAAAAAGTTATTATAAAATAAAAACATAAAATGGTTATGAATTATCAAGATTTTCGGTACTGATCTCGTCCAACAACTAAATTGGAAGAATATATCGAGGAGCGTGCATGCATGAAAAAACTCTATAGGTAAGAGCTGTTGTCTAAAACCGCATATTATCAAATGGTTGTATGAGTCAATTGTCCATCCGGTTGTATGAGTCAATTGTCCATCCGGTTGTATGAGTCAATTGTCCATCTGGTTGTATGAGTCAATTGTCCGTCCGATTCTCACCTATAGAGCGATCGTTTGGTGGTACACGCAAGGGAAAACATCTTTTAAGAGAAGCATTAATAAAGTTCAAAGAGTAACGTCCCTATTGTATTTAAGAGCACGACGCTAGACACCCTACCTAACATAAATCCTTTAAGTCTATTTGTTGTTGTAGATCTTTTTGTAGCAGTAGTACATGTGAGTGTTTGCATTTTACTAATCTGGTCCAATCTTCAGCTTTAAAAATTCGGCCACTTTAACGGGCTGTAGCCAGAGATCTTCTGGAGTGAGTTGGGTAGGTTTGGCTGTGCAATTAAAGAGGTACCACTCAGACCTACCTGACTGATATGCTTCTTAATCTAGAGGTTTTCTCTTATAGATTTCGACCTACCTCTCTAAATCGTGTATGTCCTTCCAGGCACGCCTGGAGGAGTTGTATCCACCATATGATGGTTGGGATGACTCTCACGGTGCTGCAACGAAAGCATATGATTTTGCTGACGCAAGGGAAGGACTTTGCCTGCTCATGTAGATGGTCCACTGGTGTCATGACACCCTGTCGCAGTCCTCAGCGCAGCATTCTGGCTGGTCTGGATGTGATTTGATTGCGAAGCACTAGTATTCGCAGACCACACTGGATCCGCATAGCTGACACACAGACCGACCTATCGCGTTATAAGAAGTCAACAAGGTTTCCTTGTTCGCAACTCAAGTGCTGCCGGCTAGCGCCTTGAGGACCTGTGGCTTGTACGAATGACTTGAACAAGCTGTCGAATGTGACCTCTAGAATTTTGGGGTAGTTCGTGGTCTGTATTAAATTCCACTCAACCTGCACACCTTACGATCCCTATTCCGTCTGGAGAGCGAAGAATTCCGGAAAAGTAGAGATTAAACAGTTCCCCACCTTGTGGAACTCCCTGTTTCACTCCACGGGCTTTGGACTTCTTCCGGAATTCCACATACGACTGGCGTCCACACATATAGTTGATTATCCACCGTTTTAAACTTGGACGGAGGGTAGTTCTTTGCACGTCCTCAAACAATGTGGCATGAAGAGATGAAAGAGATTGTCTCTCTTATTCAGGGCGAAATCAGACCTAAAACTTTTGGGGGATAAATCGCAGGTCACTGTAACATCTTCTAAGTGGAATGACGATGGCACTAAGTTCGTCTGGCTTTGTCAAGACTAGGAAGAAACTGAAACGGTAGAGCACTTACTTTGCCACTGTCCAACTCTTTTCGATGTTAGACGTAGGCTTATGAGGAAGCATATTCTGGCCGATTTGTTTTATTCTCCGAATCTGAGTTGGCCAGAGGACTGTAGTGGCTAAAGATTAATAAGAATATCATATCTAAATACAGATCTTTCCATTGAAAAATCGGACAGAAATCATTAAAACACCGATTAGGGAAGGTACCGCCATATGGGGGCTACACGAAAAACCTATGTGGAAAAGCTTTTACCAGGGGGTAACTATTCATTAGGTACTTCAAGTGCCGAGTTGCAAACAGATGTTCAAATCAGCAATATCCCGAATATTTTGTGGGTACAGCCATGTGCGACCAATACGATTTCGTGTGCCAATAAAGTCCACCTTCAAACTGGATCTATTTGCAGACAAAATACTGTGCAAAATTTAAAGTTGGATGAATGAACAGGGTCTAATGGTCTTAGCAATTTACGTCGATTAAGAACATATCCATACTTGTTGGATGGTATAAATACTTATACTGCTCTAAGCGTTTTAATTAACTAACGTCTAATTGTCTCTACGTCCTCTATATTTGATACTACTCTGATCTATTTTCCCCATCGATCAATATACATTTGTCTATTCGCCTTTAAATATCTAATATAGCTACTAACACATATGCGACAAATATTTCTTCTAAACGAAAAATGGAAGTGTCTTCCATCTGGGACTTTTCCCAGCAATTAAATTTGCACCCTTGAATAATGTTTAAATAATTGAAAACTTACCAAAATACTCATGTAAAACAAACAGCGAAATTAAATATAAAGCTAAACTGAATAGCTCGGCCAGCACCATTAGTCTGAAAGGAAATCCATCAAATGCGTTAATTCTCTTTAATAGTTGTATATTTTTTCCAACTTACCTATGCCATGTTCTCACCGTCAACGCCACCATAATCAGCTCTGTCATAATCAACGATGTAAAACTTATAGCCACAATATGGATGAATTCATCCTCGAACAATATCAGGGCGCCATACATAATGACACCACCCTGATATATGCTGATTAGGACCCATATAAAGAATGTTTTGTAACTCAAACTGCGACCCTTCGACAGATCTTTATAGAGTTCCGGATAGGTGACAGCTGTGGTTGATGTTATATCTTGATCTAGAACCAATGAGAATACTGGAAACATGGTGTAGAGTGTAGAATAACCCACCATAAGGAAACCTTGATACAAAGCCACTGAACTCAAATAGAAAACTGCCGAGAATACAGCTTGTAAAGTGGTAATAATTAGGCCACGATGTATGACAAACTGTGAGAGAGCAGCGGAACGTTTATACGAACGACGACCATGAACCAGCAGTAGTTTGGCGATGTGAGAAAATTGAGGCAAACTAAAATCACCAGCCAAAGAGGCTTGACGACCCTCACGTCCCTCAATACCAACACCGGCATCAGCTTGCTGGATCATACTGACATCGTTGCCACCATCACCAATGGCACAGGTACGTTTGCCGGTATGCTTCTGGATAAGTTGTACCACTTGAGCTTTCTGAGTGGGACTGCAACGACAACAGACTACAGCTGGACAAGCTGTGGCCAATTCCAAGAACTCCAAACGATAGTACTGGAGACAAACTTCCAAAGATTCACCAGAAATGACCAAGGCATGTCCTTGTTTGCGGCGAAATTGATTTAGCTCCAAATGGGCATCGGTACGAGTCTTGACTGGTCTTAAAACATGTAGTCCCTGATTGCGGCCAATCAACTGAGAAGATTTGGCAATGCAACATGCGGTCTCTAATTTATCGCCCGTCAACATCCATACACGGACACCAGCATTGCGCAAAAGTTCCAAAGTTGGTCGGACACCATCTTGAAGGCGATCTTCAACACCTGGAAAAAAGAAAAACAATTACAATTAACAATTTTTAAATCGTATACACCCTTAACATACCAGTCAAACACAGGAGCTCCATTTCTCTTTCCAATGATTCCACAACGGCCGCCACTTTGGCTGCCCGATCAGTTTTGCTGCTACCGGCCGCATTTATACGTGTCTCAAAATCATTATATTGCTCTTCGCTCAGCACCTTCTTGGCCACCACCAATGTCCGGAGACCTTCACGTGCCATATTCCCAGATTCCTCACTTAGCCAATCATTGTATTGGACTATGGATTGCATGACCACATCTGCGCCCTTCAAGTAGAATGTAATTTCACCGGTTTGTGAATCCTTTACAATAATGCCCATACGTTTGCTTTCGCTGGTAAAGGGGAAGATTTGCAATATCTGGAAATGTAAAAGGCCATCGTCTTCGCTTTGATATTGGTCCGAGGATTTCTTATGGGTTCTCAACTGCAATGTCATGGAAGTTATGTCACGAGCAATCAGGGTCAAACCCACTTGTTCGGTCCACTTAACCAAGGCAATTTCATCGGGCGAAGAAGCCTGATATTGATGTTCATTTGTCGAAGAGGCAACATCCATGTTGATCACATATTTTGTGGGAGAAGATGAACCACCGCCGCCCGATGTAAATGTGGACGAAGTGGACACCGAACGATTGTCATCTTCATCGGTAACGGGTGTAACGTTGTGACACAATGCCAAAGCCTTTACAGCTTCCCATTCACGCCAGCCCTCAGGACGACGCATGCGATTGTTGTAGATTGTGGTCGGTTTGGTGGCACTAGATTCTGAAGATGAGCTTGAACGAAATATGGTCGGTGCCAGAGAGCTTATTATTTCCGATACATGATGGAATGTATCGTTGTCATGCGAAACAATACCCAAATGGATTTTCTTAAAGACCATTTCATTTTGTGTAAGGGTACCGGTTTTGTCTGTCAAAACATAGGATATTCTGCCCAGTTCTTCGGGTATGGTTGTGGAACGTACCACGGTGCCTTGGATTTCAGGATCATTCTGCATTTGCCATGAATAGAAGGCCTTACCCATGTCTAAGTTGACTCTCAAACTAATGGGTATGATGTAGGAGAAAAGTAAGACGAAACGGAACATATAACGATACCAGGGACCACTGAAGCCCTTTAGCATCATCATGACCAGGGAGAGACCCAAAACGGCACAGAAGAGTACCTAAAAATAAAACGATTTTAATACCTACATGGATAATGAAATATTTTGATAAAATTTACCTTAGTCAAGCCATTTATTTCCATATCCAATAAACCCACTTTGGAGCGTGGTTGAGAGTTGTTCATAACACTTCTCGTTTCACAGCCAGTATAGATAACAATGCCGGTTGCTGTGCCAGCAGCCACCACGGTATTGGCCCACAAGGTATTCTCCACATTCAAACCTGTGTCCTCACTGCCATCGGTCATGGAAAAATTGCCAATAAAGGAATGAATATCATTTTGAGGCTTTTCAATGTAAACACTGGCATCAATGTTAAATAAATCGGAATCCTTATTCAATTTCTGGGTATAGGGTACGGCCAAGCGTAGTTTCCAATCAGTTTCACCTGAAATTAAGATCATTTTAGCGAAGGTTGTAATAATTACTGTTTTCAAAACTCACCATCTAATTGATCGGTCCTCACAAAAACGCTGCCACTTTTATCGCTTGTACGCAATAAAACCAAATCAGCCGGTACCCTTTCATTTTTCTCCACAATAATCATATCACCCACTTTCAATTTCGACGAGGGTACCATTTCATATCCCCTCGTATCGCTGATGATTAGTCGTTTATATTTTTGTGAATTCACTTCACGATCTCTCTGATGTCGGCGATAATCATCGATAGCCTCACGACATATTGTCACGGTTAGCACAAAACCCAGCGGTCCCCAATAGGTATAGGGATAGCCAATTCTTATGTCGGGTATAAATTGTGAGAGAGCCATTAACAGAAAATACAAATTCAAAAAGAAACGAAACTGTTCGAAAAGTACCAAAGGCAGGAACGATATGAAATTGTACTTTTGATTACGAATTTCATTCGGTGGGAATTTTTCTGTTGTTGCTCGTCCCAAATGGACGGTACGAGATCGTAGTTCGCGTGGGGCAAACCATTTTCTCCAGCAGCTAGAAAAATGGAAATGAAAAAAATTGATTAGTTAAAATTTTGGATTTTATAAAAAGTAAATTAAATTTAGTTGGAGTGTTTGTGGTGATTGTTTCTGCAAAGGTTTACTACGCGTATTCTGATTTCAATAAATTATAGGGGGAACAGAATTTTGACTTAAAAATTAATTGTTAATTGACTACTTTGTTTAAAAATCAATGATTAGCTTTTGCTTTGGTTGACGTAATTTATTTTGACTAAAAATCATATTTTTGCTTTGAAGTATAATAGTGACTCATCTTCAATATGGTTGAAGGCTGCGGTTCTTTTATGAAGGAATAATAAATTATATTTACAAAAAAGACACATTTAATCTATTACAAGATTTCGTAAAAATCAAAACTACGTTTTTATACTCTTCGTCAAATAGACTATCCTTAAAATTACCTTTAATTTTGAAATGGTCTGAAATGTTAACTTCAGCTGATTTGCGGAGAAAGGGATCCAATTTGAATATTTTTTTGCAAGAAGTTTGACTAATATTGACCCAAACGTTTGAAAACAAATCAGGACAAATTGATTGTACCTAACTCTTATGGTGGAGAGTATAAAAAGACTTGACACCAATTCATAAAAAATCAATAACTTAAAAATGCATAGCCAGCCTAAAAACAAGAAATTCACATGCACAGGAGGAATTTATAATTTATGGCCTGTTTTGAGGTCGCCTCGAAAAAAAACACAAACAAACACCAAATACAAACAACCTAACGGCAAACATATCATTACACCATGACACTAATTGCTAACTAGCACGCACATCCTTTTACACAACTCAAAAAAAGATTATCCAAGGAAAAAATAAATATTGTTGTTTTTTTTTCTTTTCAAAATAATTAGTAGCATAAAAGTGGAACGGAATAAATTGAATTTTCTTTGAGCAAAGGAAAACTAGCACAACTGACAAGAAGATAATCAATCAAATCAAGTTAATGCAAAAGTGGGCAAAAACAAAACAAGAACAAACATTGATTGGCCACTCTCATCACACTGTGTTTTTTGGGCCAGCTGTTGGAGAGAACAGGGGTTTCCCCCAAAAACAAAATATGTGTATAAATATTCATGACACTGTGAGAGAGAGGGAAGGCAAACATTTTGCACCCACATACAAACAAACACAAAACCACTAACCATACTCAGCAGTCGCAGTCTTTTGTCATCACAGAACTTTACTCTCTACGTTTCCCCCTTTGTTTATCGTTTTTTTTTTCAAACACAAAATGAATAAGAACAAAAAAAATCATTACACATACATAACAAACGAATGAAAAATTTCAAGATAAAGAAAAAATGTGTTATGTTTTTGTCATTCTACCCCAGCAACAAACGATCAAATAACATAAAATAATAATCATTTTTTTCACATTTCTGCAAAATTATTAAATTGATGATTCACCTAAATAAATACCACCGTCTCCGAGGCCGATTGATTAGAGGAATATTTTCACGAACAATTGGCGTTGTGGCTGAGTTCTGGGATGAAACATCATCCAGATTCATTTTTGCCATGGCAAAACTTTCAATTATTTCTTCACACAATTTTTCTGTTTTTCGTCTGCACTTGAGAGTCGATAAATTGAATTAGTTTCAATTGTTTTCTATGCGGGGTTTTCACAAGTTTTATGACAAAGGAAAGTTAATTCACGCTGTGTTTTCTATATGTAAGATTTCTCCACTGTGAAAAAATTACTGACAACTAATGCAGACAACCGTGATGCCATATTGATATGGTTGAATGAAGCATTTCACGTTGGCAGCACTTTTTGCTTTTATTTGTACTAAATGATGTTGCCACTATAATTGGATGTTAATAATGGCGGGTAATAAGTTTAAAATATAATTTATAGAAATATTCAAAATAATAGGCAAGAAAAAAAAAATAATTAATAATAATAATTCAGGCAACCTCATTTGATTTTATCACTCAGTTTGTAAATTAGGAAACATCTCTAGTTTAGTAAAAACTCTCCCAGTGGTTGGTACTTTTACCCTGATTCCGGGAAACATTTTTTTTCTTAAGGGACGGAATCGGGACCCCAGATTTTTGACCCGACATTGCGGGTTCAAGAAACAACAAAAAACCCAAGGAGAGGGGGTGGTGCTAACAAAAGTTAATATTGAATTTTCTACATTATACAGGGTGAGATAAAAAAAAAACTGCAACGAAGTCAAACGCAATCATTTTTAATTTTTTTTTTTAATTTTTTTGAATGAAAGCAAGAAATTTGTTCTTCGAATTTGTCACCTTTGACACGAATTATGGCCTTCAAACGGCAAATGAAACCATCACACGCTGCCCGAATGTTATTTTGTTGTATTTCGGCCCATTACGGGCGAAGCGCTTGCTTGAGGTGATCGACATTTTGGTATTTTTAGTGTCAACCTTGCTTTCCAAAATACTCCAGACACAATAGTCCAACGGATTGGTATCCGGAGATTTTGGTGGCCATTGTGAGCTGGAAATGAAGCGAGGAACCTCATTTTGTAACCAATCTTGGGTGGCGCGTGCTGAGTGCGATGGCGCTGACTCATGTTGGAATGTCCAAGGTCTGCGGCCAAAATGTTTGCGTACCCAAGGCTTTAATAAACCCTCCAGCCAATCTTTAGCTCTTTTGAGTCTATTTTCTTTCTGCTGCGGTGTAAGTTCTTGTACTTTTTCGAATTTCAATGGCTTTATCCCGAGCTCATTTTTCAATATTTGCCGAATGGAATATTGCGAAATGTTCTGCTCACGAGCCATTTTTCGGCCACTGCGACGCGGGTTTCGATCAAGTCGCTTCTATACTTTTCGAACCATTTCAGCTAATTTTGCTGTTTTCTTCCGCCCATTTCCTTGACGTCGGGCTACGCTACCAGTATCACGGTAACGAGCGACGGTACGAGACACAAAATATTTGTTCACATTTAAATGCTGGAGTGCTTTAAGATAGCCACTTGTGGTTTTCCAGCCAAATATAAAGAAATCACACTATCAATCTTCACACTTAATCAGTCACACTTAAATTCCATGACGTATGTATTTTTTTGTTGGAAAATTCTCACCAAAATGCTTTTGTACGCTTGTAAACAATATAATGAACTGTAACTGGAATAATTTTAACAGCTGTCGGACGAGTGGCCTAGAAATGACAGCAGTCTGAAGTTGGTTGCAGTTTTTTCATCTCACCCTGTATATTAGAATATTAAATTTAACTATTAATTTAAAATTGTAACTATATGTTGAAATTTTATCCACTACATAAAACATGTATATTTAATACTTTGCAGATGGGACCTACTCCTGTTTTTAATTCCAATTAAAAACATTCTCAAAATATTTTCAACATATTTTAATTAAAATAAAACCCAATTATGATTATAATCTGGGTAACTGTCAGTATTTCTGAATTAATCGCTCACATATAAAATTGTAAGATTTGGTAACCCTAATCGCAAACTGGATTGACAAATTGCTAAAAAATGCTGCCAAGTTCTCCAAGGTATTAACGTTATTTTCATTTCCCTTGTACAAAGGCAAAAGTCAACAAAGCGTTTGTGATCACTTTAATAATAAATTTAGTTAAATATAACAAAAATTATACAATTGAAATAAAATATGCTGTAAAATTAAAATAATAAAATACTCTCAGCAATACTCATATCAAACATGCTCTCTCTGCATTTATCTCATGTGTAAGAACAGTTTATAACAGAAATTTCTTGGTATCCCAGAGAACAACAGCGAAAGAGAATTGCAAAAACAAACATAAACAAACAATTGGAGAAATAAACACAGAAAGAAAAACATCAACGCAAAAGCCAAACAAATGTGTGTTTGTCCCCCCTTTTATTCGAAAGGGATAGAGAAGAATACAACGTATACATAGTGGTTGGCAGAGGTAAAACAACAATAATAACAATAAAATGCAGATAGACAACACACATGTCTGGGCAAAGAAAAACAATAACAAATAACACATGCATAAATGCAGACACATAAATATCTACATACAAACATGTGAATATGAATATTTTAGCTTAATTTAAATATCTATAGGTACGTAGTACTACCTATCTGTTGGAATATTGTTTGTTTTAGCGTTTTTATGGACAAAGAGAGACGCTTGGTTTGTTTATTAAATGCAGAGGGGGGTGGGCCATACTATACTTTGGGACCTATGCTGGCGATGACGTCGATTTTCGGTATAATACCTTTAAAGTGAACGTATGTGTGTGTGAATACGTTTGTTTTGTTGTTTTTTTTTATGAGACCGCCGCACTGCTGATGTTTGCATATCAATGAACGTGTTAATTTAGTTGTATTGTTTACCTATTTTTTCTTTTGGCTATATCTTTTGGCGTTTTTGTTTATTTGTAGATTGTTTAGCAGCATGAACGCAAAAGCTAAAAAGCAATTTGCTACTGCCTTAGGCTGCCGTTGTACGTTCGGGATGGACAAATAGATTAACTATTAGACAACATGCCTAGAAGATGGGGCAGGAGAACGCTGTATGGGTATATATAATACCTACTAACAGAAATTAGCACTTTTAAAACATATAATTATGTATGCACATATGTGTCTGTGTTCGTGTGTATGTTGCGCATGCAAATGTATGTAAGTCACGTTAAATTTATTTGAACAAATGTTGCATATTGTGGCCGAGTGAAATTAGGACATATCGAAGTGGGTCTAAACAAAAACAAAAAAAGGCATCTGCATAAAATGTCAAGAGAGTTTTAGTTGTTGTTTTGAATTATTTTTGGATAAAAATGCAAAAGTTCTTCTTCAAAAATTCTGCAAAGGTTCCTCGAATTTTAAACGGGAGATAAATTAATGAAATATTTCTTCAAAAATATTTTGTTAAAGAATAAAAAAACAAGTAAAAAAGCAGCTAAATTTCGAAAATTAAAAAAAAAAAAATCCGTCGAAAAATACAGCTCAAACAAAAACCTTTATATGGGGGCTATACGAAGACGTGGTGTTGGATAAGTAATTTTTTGTCATAGCTTGTAGTCACGATTCCCAACTTCAAATACGAAATTCGAAACAATTACGGTAAATAATGCCGCCGATATCATCAAAATACCGAATAAAGGGAGGTACCGTGTTGTGGGGGGCTAAAACGTGTCGTTATATGGAGGCTACACAAAGTCGTGCACCTGCACAGACAATTTTCTGTCATAGGCAGTAGTATGCATTACGAACTTCCAATACCAAATTTGAAATAATTCCGCTGAATAATATCGCTAAAATCATCAAAATACCGAATATCGGGAGGTGCCGTTATATGAAGGTTATACAAAGACGTGCACAGACAATTTTCTGTTTTAGGCTGTAGTATGCATTACGAACTTCAAATGCCAAATTTGAAACAATTCCGGTTAATAATGTCGCTAAAATCATAAAAATACCGAATATCGGTAGATTCTGTTAAAAAGGGACAATACGACGACGTGGACCTGAACAGATGATTTTCTATCATAGATAGAAGTATGCATTACGAACTTCAAATACCAAATTTGAAACAATTCCGATGAATTATGTCGCTTAAATCACTAAAATACCGAAATTAGGGGGTGGGGGTACCATTATATAGGGGCTGTATGAAGGCGTGGACCAGTACGGACAATTTTCTGTCATAGGTTGCGGTATCCATTACGAATTTCAAATATCAAATTTGAAACATTTACGGTGAATAATGTCGCTTAAATCGCCAAAATACCGAAAATAGGGAGGTACCATTATATAGGGGCTATACCAAAACGTGGACCTATATTCCAATTTCCAATACCAAACGTCATGCAGACATCATATACATTTGAGTAAAATTCTATCAACCTACTTCATTTTGTTCGGAAGCTAGAGTGATTTCCACAGACGGACGGACATTGCTAAATCGACATAGAATTTTATGCTGATTAAGAATATATATACTTTGTAGGGTCTAAAATGTATATTTCGAGGTGTTAAAAACGGAATGACAATCTTACTATACCCTCTAAACTATGGTGGAGGGTATAAAAACTAAAATATTGAAGCTTTTGTCCTTTAAAAATACTTTATTAAAGCTATGTTCTTTTTTTTTGGTAAAAAATCTAAAATTTATTTTTGGTACCTCTGATATGTTTACCTCATTCAACTCTGTTCCGCTCGGTTTGAAAGTTGACGCTAACGTCACTACTAAATCATTTTCTATTCTCATTTCCACTTACGGTATAATAATTTGTTTACTTCCCTCTAAAATTTATTGTTACTTTCGTTTGCGCTGTCATGCCACCACCTTAGGGCATTTGCTGAGCCAACCACCACATCTCAACCACTTCTAGACAGAAAAACAACAAAACTATCAAATCCACTTCATTTATATTCATTTAAAAAAAAATAAGAGCTCTGCTTATCATAGAAAGTGAATTTGGGAATATATTTTTAGACAAACATACCGACCAAGAGACCCATGCCAACAGTCTTGGTCTCGTGTCACAATTCTTGCGAACAACAAAACACATCGAGAAAGTGAAAGGAATTTAATTTTATTATGTTGTCTTTTCATGTTTATACTATAATCTCTAATATTGTTTGATATATTGCAAAATAAATATCAAAAAAAAATTTAAATGTCAAAGTGGCAGACAAATTGGCACATACCTAGTTAGACAATTGTTTAAAAATAAATTATTGTTGATGGGGATAAAAACTCTTTTCTCTCCCCCACGTACATTTTCTCAGAGATAAATAAATGTTTTGTTTTTCTAGAACGTAGACATAAAAAATAGTTTATTTAAGCTTAGCACCTGGGTACAAAAAGTTTTTGTATTAGGAGTTATTTTTAAATAACTCCTGGGGAGTATATCGCCGGACAAAAGCAATGAGAACTGATGAGGATTAGTGGCTCTTCCGCAATCATGATAATCCCCGAACCCCCTGGTAAACATTTCTCCACTGATAAATGAATGGTGTTAAAAAACATTAATGGAAAGAAACCAGACTATTTTGCAACAACTAATTAGGTACGGTATTCTAAATAAAATGCAAACATTTTCTTTGTTCCAGAACCCGCAAAAATGTACTAATTTTGCATTTTTTCGATATATTAAAGAGAAAATCGGTTATCGCAGTAAAATGTTAACATTCTTGCAGTTCTGGAACGTTGCTTATTTGTAATCATAATTATTAAATATTATAAATAATTCTAAGATTGACACAAATTTCACACCATTTTCTCAACAAGAAATTTCCTTCCTCGTTTCAAGCCCTGCCGTTAATAGTCTCTTTCTCTCTCTCTCTCTCTCTCAATCTGATAAAGCCAAATGAAATCACAAAAATAAACCAAAAGAAATACAACCACTACTCTGAATATAACATTTAATTTCAACAAATTCTATATGCATGAACCTAAAAATTTAATTTTATCGAAAATTGCCTGCATATTCATAAGTTCGTTAACCTTTATTTAATTATAATTTTTAATATTTTTTAAACAGGTGTTTCAATGCTAATTAACGGTTGCCAGCTGACTCAGAGATTGTAGTGATTGTTGTGGAGAATAAAACACGAGAGAGCATTTGTCGTTGAGAAGAGGTTTTTTGTTATTGAGGAAGAAGCAAGGGAAGGAAATAACAATTGGAAATTAGTGAGATAAACAAGGAAACATTCACATGAAAGAATTTGGAAGGAACAAAAATAAAAATAGTAACATGAGAAAAGAGTAAAACAAAGGAAATTCGGTCAATGATTACCAAAATGTAGAAAAAATGATATCGTTGGAGAGACAACAATGCATTCAATAAAGCAGGGCAAGGCAGAGAGCCTCAAAAATTTTTTGTGATTGTATGTGTTTTGAAATAACAAAATATTGCAAGTGTTTTTTTGCCTCTCTTTGCACAGTGAGAAATATTTTGTTGGCTTGGATAACGTGCGTTGGCAAACCAAACATTCTAGTTTCCCAAAATAATTTTCGGCGAATAAAAATTCATATTCAATGTCCTCAGCCATTTTTTGTGTGGAGAACTAAATGATATATAGAACCTTTCTTATTCACTATCGAAATGAAACTGAAAATATTTCTTTGTGTGACCAAATCAAAACCCAAATTAGTCCATGGCCATCTTTGTCACACCTGTTTCAGAAATAAAAATAAAATATTCCAAAGTGTTGAAAAGTGCATTTGATTTGAACCAAATATTGCAAAGCCAATAAAAAATTCAATTAAAGAAGAAAAATCTTTAAAGCTCCCTGAAAATGTGTAGTATGTTACATTTATGTACACAATTATTTCTTACGGTGCATTCATAAAAATATCCGACAGCACATTCCTCGTCGACTGCTCGAACAATACTAAATATTCTCCCAAAACCATTTTGACAGAAAACTCAAAACAAGTTATTTTTTACAATTGTGTTGGTGAACACACAGACATCCCAAGGGATACTCTTTGCCTAGCCCTGGCAGGGCAAGGCAGAGAGCCTCAAAAATTTTTTGTGATTGTATGTGTTTTGAAATAACAAAATATTGCAAGTGTTTTTTTGCCTCTCTTTGCACAGTGAGAAATATTTTGTTGGCTTGGATAACGTGCGTTGGCAAACCAAACATTCTAGTTTCCCAAAATAATTTTCGGCGAATAAAAATTCATATTCAATGTCCTCAGCCATTTTTTGTGTGGAGAACTAAATGATATATAGAACCTTTCTTATTCACTATCGAAATGAAACTGAAAATATTTCTTTGTGTGACCAAATCAAAACCCAAATTAGTCCATGGCCATCTTTGTCACACCTGTTTCAGAAATAAAAATAAAATATTCCAAAGTGTTGAAAAGTGCATTTGATTTGAACCAAATATTGCAAAGCCAATAAAAAATTCAATTAAAGAAGAAAAATCTTTAAAGCTCCCTGAAAA